GGTTCATCATTTAAAATTATATATATACATATATATATATATATATATATATATACATATACACACAAACTCTCAGATATATATATATATATATATATATATATATATATATAGATTAAAAGGACGGCAAAATACTGGAAAAAATGCTGTGAGAAACAATGGCTAGATCTCAGTAGAGATAGGCCTACAAATTTCATAAGCAACAGCCAGAAATAAACCAGAGCTTTCGGACAACACTAGTCCGATCCTCAGTGGCAAGTAAGTGAATGTAGAAAAAGCTAACAACTGGCTATTTGAGATGAGATAAACATCGTGAACAAAGAGTGCACAGGACAGCCAAACAGGAAATAATATTAAACTATATAAATACACCAAGATTTTGAGAACATTAACGGCATTAGGACCACTTTATGCTGCATTCTATTTTCATGAATGTGTATTTTTATGCGATTGTATCGGTATTTAAATCAAAGTTTTATGACCCATAGATCGTTTTTAAGTCACTATATAAATAATATTACACATTACTAAATTAATTAAAATGATTTAGATAGAAAAATTATAGAATGTATATACAGAAAATGATTTTGAGAACATTAACGGCATTAAGATTATGAATTTATATACATAGCGATGTTCTAATAGGCCTACTGTATCTAAATTAAAACGCATTTTACGACCCACGGATCTTTTTTAATCCTCACTACATAAATAATATTACACTTTAATAAATTAATTAAAATGATTTCACTTTAGCCCACTTTTAAAGAGTACTTAGATTTACATTATTGAATGTAGGCTGCAAAAACATGTGCCTATGACTATACGGTACGTATTTAATTAAACAACAACAAATCTTTAGCTCTATTTTTTACTCAGATATTCCGGTTTAATGCCATTGTATGAAAAGGACTACTCAAAACAATTAGATCTCCAGTCTGAAAATGAGGCCTGAACAACAACACAACAATGGGTACCGGAATTAAATTTAACACTATTAAGGCATAAAGACTTAAGACAACTACAGTATGGTACACTCTCTACTTACCTATATTTTCTTACTTGGAAGGAACACCATTCCAAAATTCAATATTTTAAAAGATGTTTTTGCGACGACGTGTCTACTACAAAGTTCCGGTAGTCAGTGACATACACACTTGCTTCAACCGTAATTTGGATAGACAGGTGCACAACCAACCAGGTATCTGAAGGAAAATTGCTGCCAAGGACAGTAGTGCCCTACCAGGCTAAACCTACAATTATTAGCTCAGAGCTCACCCCTCATCAGCGTCCACCCTCGAATTGGTCTAGCACTGGGCCAAAACGGTATCTGACCAGTTTGTCAAAATCCAGTTTGCCGAAACCCATGATTGCCGAATTAATGACCCCTGCCGAAACCCAGTTTGCCGAATCCAGTTCACCGAAATCATGACAACCCAGTTTGCCGAAACCCATCGTACAACAACAGTACAGCATACTGTGCTTTTGAAAACATGACGGGTGGATCAGGGAGGAGTCATATTTACATTCCCGTATTTGTACCCGTAGTAAACGCTCCGCTTTGAGTAAACGCCCCTTCTAGAGCCTCATTTGGGATAAACGCCTCTTTCGAATACACCCCGTGGTATATATTTTTTCCTCGAATGAACTCCCCATTGACTGTAAACAGATCTAATAGAAACATCATTTCAACACTTTCTACTAATGATTTACTCCAGTAGAATTACATTTTAATTACTGGACATGCATAATGGTATTCGTTTCTAATTATTTCTTATACAAATATATATAATGATACATGTAATGTATATTCAAATATACATACCTATAGTGCATATTTAAAATGTACATTAACTTCATTATATATGTATATATAATATATATATAACATATATATGTATATATATAATACATACATAAATATATTCGATTTTATCTATTATATGATCATGATTTATATACATATAGGCCTATGCCTATATATATATATAATGTATATTTAATATGTCTATAACTCATTAAGTATTGTCATTACTATGTTATTGTCGTTATTATTGTCATCGTATCGTTATTATCATCAATTATATTATACATTTTTATTGATATCGTTATTATTAATATTATTTTTATTAAAGCCGTTTTTATTATTGTTAGCCTATGTGGTTTTAAATGAAAAATAAATAACAAAGGCAACGATTTAAAACACTTCATTTTGGCATAGTTCAGCTTTGCATTCAAATCAAAATTATTTAGTAAATACAGAGTAAATTGGGTCCGAGTTGACTACTTGGGGCCCCGAGTTGACTTGGGGCCGAGTTAACTTGGGGCCGAGTTGACATGGGGCCGAGTTGACTTGGGGCCGAGTTGACTTGGGGCCGAGTTAAATTGGGGCCGAGTTGACTGGGGCCGAGTTGACTCGAATTCAGTATTTAAACTGAGAAATCCAGCTACCGTAAGTTTGTACAAAGAACTACGAAAATGAAATTTTCAACAACAACCGGCTGAGACAATGA